TGTCCTGGGGCACTCAAGTTCCTTGCTTTCCTTATCTGTAAAATGGGAATATTCCAACTCCGACTTGGCCTTGGCATCGTTTTTGCTATATACTTATTAGTTGACCCCAGTTTTGCCTTGGAGGGTCGCAGAGAGCAAATCTGAGTCTCACAAGGGCAGCAGGAGCTTCTGCCTTCCCCGGGGCGCCCCGGAGCCCCCCTCCCGCAGCGGTGGATCCTGATTGGTCTGTGATGGTCTCATTCCCTATGCCAGTGATTGGTGCAGGCCTGTTCATGTGACCCAGTTCTGCTCAACGAGATGAAGAAATCTGTGCAGGAGTGGGGTGTCTTCCTGGAGAGGTTTCTGAGACACTCTGGAGGCCGGGAGCCTTTCCCAATGTTGGGTTTCTTCCTGACTGCCAATAAAGCTACAGCCGCCCCGCCCATTCCAGAGCGAGCCACACCACCATGCCAAGGATGGCCAAATACAGACAGGAAGACCGGGGTCCTTGAGGACATCATCAAGCCTTTAAGTTACCACCCTTGGAGTACCCGACTCACAACCTCTTATCACACAAACCTATCAAACTTAGGCCAGCTGAGTAAAGGCTTCTTGTTATTTGCAACCCAAAGCATCCTGCCGATATCCCAAGGTTGGTCACATCTCCTCTTCTTGAGATTAAGCCCATCATACCAGAGGAAGGGTCTAAGCTCAGCCTGTGCACTCAGGGAAGACTTCCTGGAGGAGGTGAAATGGAATCCAAAAGAATGAGCGGGCAGATAAAGGGAGTAGGGCAAAGGGTAACATTCCAAGCAGAACAAAGGCCTGAGGTTGGAGACGCCATAGTGTGTGTGTGTGTGTGTGTGTGTGTGTGTGTGTATGCGCGTGTGCATGCAGGAGAAACAGTCTGTGTGGCTGGGAGAGGTGAGGCTGCAGAGTCAGAGGTGGGGTGGGCTGCAGTGGGCCCTCAGCCAGGCTACAGAACCTCAGGCTATCAAAAGGGCAGAGGAGAGGTTCTGTGGATGGCCTTGATTTTGTTCCCCCGGGGTCTCGCCCCCGGGCTTTGTGGCTAGAATAAGTGCACTCAGCGGGTCCAGCCGCACCCAGATGCTGCCCTGAACCTGGGAAGGGGCAGGGGTGCTGGGCCTGGCTGCCCCAGGTGTGTTCCTGCCTGCTGGGCCTCTTCCAGCCCCCAGAGCGCTCATAAGAGACTAGGGCTGAAATCTGGGTCACTCCACGCACGAGTCGGACATCCATCAAACAGGCAGTTACTAAGTGCCTACAAAGCAGTGTGCTAAGCACAGCGGAGAAAGGACCTGGTTCAAATCCCAATTCTGTCTCTTCCCAGCTGGGTGACCTTGAGTAAGCCACTTTCCCTCTCCAAACCCAGCATCTTTACCTCTTTGTGAGAGACCTCAGGTGAAATCAGTGGTTAGCTCACTTCTCTCTGGTACTGGCGGGGGTGGGGGGGTAAGCAGTGGGTAAAACAATGCTCAGAAAGCTTCCTGGGGATAAGGTTTCTCATCTGGGTGGGACTACAAGAGGCCCACAATATGCTGTGATGGACATTTGAGCCAGGATGAGAGCTTCTGGGGAGGGAGCATCTAAGGGGGGCGGTGAGGAAGTACAAAACGGAGCCGGTAGGTGAGGCGGGCCGAGTGTTCCCAGAGAGAAAAGGTCCACAGAGGCAGGGCGGAAAGGATACAGGAAGCCTACAGCTTCCGTTCTGTGCCCCCGAAGCCTTTAGAACCGTGTGCTGCCCGCGGAAGTGCTGGACGTTACTGTTGAATATGGGCGTCGTTTGAACCTGTAATAGCAAATCTCTGCGCTTAAGCCAGAAGATGCAGATTCAAAAATCTCGCCTCTCCTGCTTACCACGTGACCTTGAGCAAGTCACTTCGCCTTTGAGCTTCAGACTCCTTCTTTGCAAAGGGGGCGTAAAACCCAGTTCACGGAGCTGTATGGTGGTGTGTGCAGGGTCTAGGACCAGGATTCCCTTTCCCACCTAGCTAATTCCTATTTTAAAGCCCTAAGATCCAGTGCCGCCTCCTACAGGGAGCCTTCCAGGCTCCCTCAGGAAATCCCCCAGACCGGTCTACTACCCCAGCTGACCCCCTTCCCTGACTCCACCTTGCTCTATTGTGTCTTCCTTCTCCCGCCATCAGGCTCTGGGCTTGGAACAGGGAGGGGCAGGGTATCTTAGCATCTCTTGGACCCAGCTGCACCCCCCCACACACAGGGAGTATCTACCAATGCCAAGTCCTTCCCCGAGGCTCCACGAAGGTGGAAACAAGAGGGGAAAAGTGATTAAGTCTGCTGGGGGTGCGGAGAAGGGGAGGGGTTCAGGAAAGGTTCAGGGGTGATATCGCTAGATCTTAGAGGGGTGAAGAGAAATTTACTGGGAAAGGGGCATGTTTCCAGGCAGAATCAGAAGTATAAAAGCACAGGGGTGTGAAGGATAGGGTAAGTAAATTGTGGCTCACCAGAGTATCTGCCCTGAGTGGCTAAAGATGAGGATTCTGGATCTAGATCCCACGGGCCTCAAATGCCAAGCCAAGTGCCCAACCCTATAGGAAGAGGCCAAAAACTTGTGACTGAGCAGCGTAGCGACCCTGGTGTGTGTGTGTGTGCGTGTGTGTGCGTGTGTGTGTGTGTGTGTGTACACGCGCCTGGCCACTGCAACAGTTTGAGCTAAACTTAGGTTGGGGGTGGGGTGGGGAAAGTGATAGGGCTATGGGCCACCACTGGGGGGCAGGTGCTGGTGGGAGAACCAAAAAGGAGCAAAAGTTTGCCCTGGAGGACTGATTATTCAAAATATTTCAGGAATATATCCACACCCAACTACCCCTCGCTAAAAAGCCAGCGTCCACAATCATTGCATGCTACACACAGCAGCTCTGTGAGAATAGGGGGGGGGGGTCCTTCATTACAGGGGGACAGAGTGAGGGTCCGACGAGGAAAGGGACCCTGCCACAGGCATGCAGGCAGCGCGGGGCTGGCCACAACCTGAAGCCAGCATCCCGGCCCAGAGTGCAGGGGAGGCAGGCCTTCAGCTGTCTGACAAATGTGCTCAGCACCTTCTAGAGCCAGACCCTGCAGACAAGGAGGTGACCTTTGACCTCTGAGTCGTCTTGAGCTTGGACTGGACACCTGGGCCACAGACCAGCGGCCTCCAGTAGGGGAGAGAGAAGGGGGAACTCAATGAGGGGTAGGTTTTCGTGGTCAGACAGGTCAGCAGGGGCTCACCCCCCCCAACTCCCCCCCCATGTCTATCTGTCTGTGAGTCTTCTAAACTGGACCCTGGGGTGGAGGCTGGAAGAGGGCCAGTCCCTACACAAAGGGTGAGGGGCAGAGGGAGTGGCTCTTTGCTGCCTTTCTAAGAAGCCCCCAAATGCCCCCTCCTCCCAGCACCCACCCAGGCCCCGCTCAGCCGCAGCCTGAGTCATCATCCTGGTTTGAATGGTAGCCGACAAATCAGCCAGGGGGCTGCCTGGGGCTGAGGGCCAAGGGTTGGAAAAACAAGGCCGGTTTCTCTTACCTCCAGCCTTGGAAGCTCAAGACAGGCTAGGGGGTGGGGGGCAGAGGGCAGGCTGAGGCGGGATGGGGGGGTGTCAACAGCCAGAGGGGGGGCGGGGGGGAGGGAAAGGTTCAGAATTTGAGCTGTTGGCTTTTGTTTTCAAATGACCTGTTTAATAATTACCTGTGCAATCGAAGGAGCCACAGCTCGGGGAGGAGAGGATTTCAACCCTCCATACCCCACCGAGCAGCCCAGCAGCCTGAGAAGAAAGTAAACAAGATGCCACCAGCGGATCTCACCCCATCTTGCAAACAATGGCGGGACTGAGCTGCCCGCTCAGGCACACACATCAAAGTGATATTTCCAGGCAAGAACTTTAACAGGCAGATAAGAGCCTCGGACCGAATTCTTTCCCTGCATCCCCAGAGCTTCCCTGCGCTCGGAGCCCAAGGGGGCAGCCTTAGGGGCCCGTCATTTCAACCTTAACCTTGACCTGTAATGTATTCATTCATTTTGCAGCGAGGGAGAACCAGCTCGGCCCCAACCCCGAAAAACCCAACCAGCAACAACTTCATCGCTTTGAACAGTCACAATGGTGGACAAACAAGGGATTTAAGTTACAGCGGCTAGCTCGCGCTCACACTCCACTGGGCTCGGGCTCCTTAAAAAACACACCCCAATCCAAGCATCCACCGGGGCTCACAAAGTCAGACCCTGACCTGGCAGTGGGAAAACCCAACTTGGTTTTTTTTGTTGTTGTTGTTTCTTCCCCAATCTCCCAAGGCCTTCAACTATTTTTTGCCCCTGCAGCATCCAAGCCCAGCCTCGAGGCTGAGCCATAAACACGCCTGCTCCTCCCCCTTCCACGGTTCGGCAACACCGCCCCCCGCCCCCCCGCACCTTCCACCTTCCCGGACCTGGAGGAGAAAGAAGCACCGCGACCCTCACCCGCAGCCCCTCCCGGGCCCTCCCGCAGCCTCCCGCGCCGTCCGCAACCCTCGCAAGCACCTTGAGATAAACACCCACTAATGATTTTATGCTTTTCTGCTCTGGGTAGCCGCGCTCATCAGAATCCCTCCCCCGGCCCCGGCGACTGGGGTCGGCCCAATCGAGGGATTGGGGGATGGGGGTGTTAGTTTGTTTTTTCCACTGTCGCGTCCCCACACCTGGTTTTCATTCATTCATTCGTTCGTTCATTCATTCACGGTTTCGTCACTGCAGCTTCCCCGGCCCTCCGGATCTCGGGGAGGGGATGGGAGGGAGGGGACCGAGATGGGGGTGGGGGGAGAAAGACAGCGGTGGGGGTGCACCGCGGGGGGGTGCTCGGGGTGGAAGGACCCCGTTCGAGGGCAGATCGGGTGGCTTTGTCGAAAATAAGGCGGGCGGCGGGGCGGGGGCGCTCCCCGGGGCTCGAAGTTGTTTTCCGAGCCGCCGCGGCGAGGACAGCCGCCCGGGTGCGCCTCTTTGTCTCTCCCCGGCCGGCGCCGCGTCCCCGCGCGCTCACCTGGTCTTGGAGGACAGGAAGGCAAGTTTGATCAGGCCGTAGGTGAAGAGCGGGATGCTCTCCTTGGCGACGCTGGCAACTTGCAGCCGGTGCTCCAGAATGTGGAGTTCCATCGTCCGCCCGCGCTCCGCGGCGGCTCATCGGCGGGGGGCGAGCCGC